ACTATAAAATCTACGTTCTATTTCATCTTCATCAATTATAGAGTAGATTGTCGAGAATCTAAACTATCTGCAATTTCAAAGCTGCCGCCTGAAGTAGCGCTGCTTGCCGATTATAGAAAGCTTCTCGTCAAATCACCTGACTGTCCAATCCCCATCGCCATTGTTTCAAAATTTTTTGAATCCTGAAAGCGTATTTCGCCAGCGTCAGTATTTTAGTGTTTCGTGGAAGGTTTATAAAGATTCGTCAGATTTTATTACCCAGTCATTGGTGATCATCACAGTCAATACTGAGACAATCGAGCAGTAGCAACTGCGATAGAAGCATCAGTGAAGCAACGGTAGTGGCTACAACCTGGAACGATGGAGCGATAGTGACGAAGGCGGCAACAATGGCGGAAGTAATAGTCGACTTGTGGCGCCATCGTAGCAAATGCTTCAACCGCGCTGTATTCTCATTCAGCCGCCTCCTGGCAAGAGGACCTGACCGTCGCGATCAGAGGCAGGCTGTGCTGTTTGTGCGTGCATGCCCTCTTCAAGATGGCTTTGTCCGCCGCGGCGCAGTGATATCACTCCAGAGAAAGATCATAATCCCAGCCTGAGTTGGATTACTCTGGAGTGTTGGAGGGAGGTGGAAAAAACCGCCAGCACGACGATTATCATCACAATCACGACGACGAGGAAGAAGGTGTTAGTCAGCAACATCCTGAGCAGTTTGGAAATGTGACGCTCGTCGGCGAACCGGTGAGTCCGTTCGTTTTCTTCACTTCTTCGTTTTATTTCCGAGGGATTTAGACCAGAAAGATTTATTCGAAGTTAGAACTCCACGTTCTTGATGACGTAGCCACTGTTTCGACGAGAGAGTGCGAGAGAGAGGAGCGAGGTGGGAGAAGGAGAGAGAAATGAAAGAGGGAGAGAGAGAAAGAGAGAGAAAAAGAAGTGTTGTTAAAGATATGATGTTAACTGTCTAGATACTGTTATTTGCAATATAAAGTGGCTGAAGACATTTCTCGCTGCGCCGCTTTGCGAAAAATACGCTCAGGACCCGGGCAGGTGCAAGCACGGATAGACATTCGGTTGGCAACAGCTCTTCGATTGTTCGGTAAGATAAGTAACAGGAAAAAAAGGCTGTTTATAGGGATAAGAGAGTTTGCAATAATCGCTGAATAGTTAAATATATTACGCCTTATCTCGCTTTCTCGCTGTTGTGTGTGCGAAAGAGACTTCCTCATTAGGATCTTGGAGCAACACTTTTTGAAGCAGGAAAGAAGACTCGTAATGATTGATGAATTTTCAGTATAGAAAAGTACCTTGGAGTAAGAAAACTGTCCTTAACGATGATTTTGAAGTGGAAAAATTTCGGAGTAAAAAAGCTCTGTTTATTGTTGATTTTGGAGTATCTTGAAGCAAAACAGTTCTTTCTATTTATTTTGGAGCAGGGAAATATTTCAGAGAAACTTTCTTTACTGATGATTTTGAAATAAGGAAATATTTTAAAGCAAAAAAACTATCCTTATTGATGATTTTGGAAAATCTATATTAGAATCTATAAGAATATATTAGAAAATCGATATTAGAAAACATCGAGCAAAAAAAAATCTCTGTTTATTGTTGCTTTTGGAGTAAAAAAGTTTCTCGAAGCAAGAAAGTTTTTTTTATTGATTTTGAAATAAGAAAGTATCTTGAAGCAAGAAAACTGTCCTTATTGA